ACATGCATTAAAGCAGGAACTGCACACCTAGCCATCAAACATTTATTAAAGTATCTTGATGCACGCTCAATCATCCAGGAAAGTAAATCTCCAAAAGTTGATTCTGTTCATCTGGACGCAGCGTTTTGTGGGAGAAACGTTTGGTCACTCATCCAGGTGACTTCTTCAGTCTCAGCTGACTGCAGGTTTCAATCTTATAAACAGTGCATTTGCATGATGACTGAAACCAGCCCACTGAAGGAACAATGGGCTGGGAGGTCAGTTCCCTAATCTTAATTATGCAAATTCTCATGACCATTGATCAACAACCACTGACTGTTCCAGAAACACTTCCCTTGTGCTTTTGGAAATCTGTTTTTTCCTATTTCCGTTGTGTTTTGTGTGCTTTTGCTGCGTTTTTCTTAGTGCTGGTGTTTTCTCAAGTTGCAGTCTGTTTGGCCTCTCAGGGCCACCGTATAAAACAGTGTGATCATCGAACATTTTAGTGCAAAGAATAACAAACCCATTGGACTCACAATACCTCCCATGCTTATTTACTCTCCATCTCTTTCAGACAGTTACTTAGACAAACTAGCCTGTTCACATTTTCAGGGCAGCTCTTTTTTGTTATTATGTGACCTGTAAGTGAGAAGAGTCTGTCACATGGGACAGAAGTGGCAGGACTAATCAGATACTTACAGGCCAGGACAGACAGCTGTGGGTGGTCCCTGTTCGACTGGACCACCACTGCAGCGGGCAGTCTGTGTCGCTGATGGTGGATTCTGCTCTGTACAAACTCAGGGCCCCGTTACGCAGAGCTTCCTCATCTGAGTCTGAAGACAATGAAGAGAGGAGGACGATCTTTCTTTGCTGGCTCCTTTGTGGTGGCATTTTTACACTGTTCCTGCAGCAGGGCCTCAAGGCTGGTTCAAGCTTCTTCTTGCTCTCCCCTTACAAGCAACTTTAAACCCTTAAAGTGTGGGTTAGTAGGGGAATTTTTTAATGTATGTATATGCTCGAACCGGCAACCTTCTGATTACAAGGCGAACGCCCAACTCTTGAGCCACATCGCCCTTAATTAAGCGAAACAAAACAGTCAAACTTTGCTCAACTCATTCTTCTTGCTTCCTCCACTTCACTAATGTTGAATTTTTTCGCAGCTGCTCTATTCCCATGTTGTTGCAGTATATTAATGACTAACCTCGTATTGTGGA